ATTTCCCTGTTTGTATACGTAAAGTATGAACTCCCAATCCCAGTTTAGTTATACTGATTCTATGAGCTGGATTTCTAACTATCTTTAGGTATTTTTCCAAGCGATAATCTTTTTTAATTTCCTTGTTTGTATATTTTTGTCTAGAGCTATCCAAAATGTCGTTTTCAGCTTTAAACCAATCTTGAGAAAATTTTTTCTGCAGCTGTTGTTTAATGCTAGAACGAGTGTTCTTAATACATTGCTGGTTTTTTATTACCTCGTTTTTGTAGTGCATTTGTATTGTTTCGTCACTCTTAAATAAATTGTAAAACTGACTGTGATTTCTTGAGTAAATAAAAGCTTTATTTAAGAGAGGGTTGTCTGATTTTTGTTCTAATCTTTGCCAGTAACATAAAAGGGAGGCCTTTATGTCGATAGATAGAGGATATCGGCCAAGTTCTGCTCTACAGGCTTTGTTTTCTGTGTACCATGGGACGTTTAATGTTTGTTTACAGAATTTAATGTGAACTTGCTCAACTGTACTTTTATCAAAATGTGCCTTATAAAATAATAGTTCTGCTCCCCATATTTCACAACCGTAAAGTAGTACAGGTTTAACAAGGGCATCGAAAAGTTTATTCCTTGTCTCGACCGCTGAAGAATCAATGTTGGAGAGTAATCGTTTAATTGTGAAGACAATTTTGGTAGCCTTTTTACTAAGAATTTCCCTTGCATAGGCGTAACGACCAGATGATGTCATTTCTATTCCTAGGTATGTTTGTTTGTTGATAATTTCTATACTTTCATCTGCATATTTGAAATTTGCTTTGTTTTTGTTTTGTCCATTTCCACCAAATATGATGATATTAGATTTTCTGGTATTTACTTTGAGCTTCCATTCTTGAGCGTGTTTATAAATTACATTCAGCAATCCCCCTGGTGAATTATTAATTACTAACAGATCATCAGCATACATCAGGCAGTTTAGTGATCGATTACCTAACTTTACGCCAGGGCAGTTATGTCCTCTAAAATACTCTGGCAAGTCATTCATAAATAAAGAAAACAACACTGGGCTTAAGCCGTCCCCTAGCCATATGCCTTTGTTACATAGGAAGCTCTCAGTCATTGTGTTTTGATTAACCTTCACACAGCTCCTAATTGATGAATACATCGATTTGATGACCTTCAGGAATTTTCCTTTTATTCCTTCCTTTTGTAGTTTATGTATCATTCCAGACTTCCATACACTATCAAAAGCCTTTTCATAGTCAATAAAGCCAACATAAAGTTTTTCATGTTGTTTGGTGTAGTTATGAAGGAGTTGCTGCAAGATGAATAAACTATCTGTTGTTCTAGCGTTTGGTCTGAATCCAAATTGTTCTGGGTTGAGAATGTTATGGATTTCGATATACTTATTCAACCTGGATTGTAAAATTGATATAAACAATTTTCCCAAACAACTTGTCAAAGTGATTCCTCTGTAATTTGCTGGGGACCTTCTATCACCTTTCTTTTTGTAAATGGGTTTTATCACGCCAACATTCCATTCAGTGAGGGAAGCAAAAAATATCGACCATGTTTGATCATTTCATTTAGAATAGAATCCATGCTGCTTGCTTTCTTTGTTTTAAGTTTCGATATATGTTCGTGGATTTCTTTTGGAGTGATCGGTTTTCCTAAGATTTCATCATCTGTCAGCCTACCATTCAAAATTCGTAACCTATTTCCTATGCATAGCCGTAAAATTTCTCCTCCTACTTTGTTTACGGTATAATCTACAATATTGCATTTAGGACAGTGTTCATCAAGATGGTAGATATCATTCGGTAGTACAGGGCCGTGCGTATCATTTTCAATAAAGTCGTTTAACATCCCCGTTCTAGCATTAAAATCGCCCAGCAGAATAATTTTACCTTGTGCAGGGGTGGATGATGCTGGGAATGAAGAGACAGTGAATGCTGTGGTGGACGATGCTCGTAATGAGGAGACAGTGGATGCACCCAGACAATCATATGGTATCAAAACACGCCCAAGAACCATAGTGGACGATGCTGCTGATGTTGATGTGACTGTAGATGTAGATCTAGTGTGTGTTACTATAACAAGAGAAATAAATGTACGACATTAATGGAAACATCAACATAATCAGTGATTAAATACCAAGCATCCAACACCCACAAAACACTAATCTTGATGCCACTTACAGATATAGAAACACAAATTCATATGTCAAAGCAAACAATGTATAATGCAAATGTCTGCCTAGAGGACTCAGCAAACAGTGTGTTCTTCTTTAAAAAAAGGAAGATTCCATTCCTTACCTTTTCCGGTGCCTCAAAGGGCACATTGTTAGTTTGCAAGGGAGCTGGGTGAGACTATGTTTGAATTTGTGAATTTGATGCTGTTCCTGTTCCTGTTTTAAGAAGCAGTGGTCAAAACTTTCAGTCAACTCTATTATTTTATAAGGATAAATGTAATCCATACGAAATGACAAATTTATTGCATAGCTTCCCAAAGCCATCCCATTCTATAGTCTTTCATCTACAAAGTGGTCTCCTGCTACGTGTATTCAAAATCAAATATATATTACGCAAAAGCGTCGCAATCTACTTTAGAAGGTAAAGGTTTGCAACTCCTCATTCCACAAGCTTGACCTCATGTCATTTTTATGATGTAGATTTTACTTTCCCATAGCTATCACTTCTTGTAAGCATCCACTTTGAAAATATTAATTAGTTTATCTGTCAAACACTGTTTTAAATATTTTTTATTATAGTCTCCCCAAGAGTCCTTACCCCTAGGAATTTGCTATCTAAGGCAAAAAAAACTGCTAATGCCCGGGGGTCAGGCTGGGGGCGGCTGGGCGCAGCTGGAATTGACTGATGCATAATTAAGACTCAATACCAGTCCAAACTGAAATCAATACACATGATTTGCGGGTCCTGATCAAATATATATTACGCAAAAGCGTTGCAGTTTAAGATTCTTTACTCCAGTTAAGCTTAAATATTTAACCTTATTTAACAATTTTATTTCGTCCTTATCTGGGGAAAGGTATAAGAACACCTTCTTTCTACGCGAACCTCCAAAAAATTTAAGAATATTTGCCCCACCTTAGAGTCCAGATGCCACAGTCTTCATGGAATGGCCTTTTGAATAAGACTATAAATTCAAGCCTGAAAAAAGAAAACCTGACATCAATCATAATTTGTAGTTTGTACCTAAAAAGCTTTAAAAAATATAAAACTGTTCTAGTGAGGCCTTTTAACTGTTGTTTAAAAAATTAAAATCCCTAATCCAAGCTTACGCCGAGCAACAGCATCATCAGGCAAAACCTTTAGCTTAAGTAAAAGGATTGTCCGCCATCAAACTTTAGTCAGCAATTTTGAATTCTTGAGCAGTGCATCAGCTGTAAAAGCAAACACTGCCTTTTGCTGGCAAATTATCACAGTCGAGTTCCACTCTTGTAAGAGTGCATTGAAGGGGCCCATTTAAGGCATATGCCTCGATGAAAAGCGACAATGAAAGGGTAACCGAGCCTCCAATTTGATGGCGCGAAACGATGCATCCCAGCCTACGGGCGTCTGGAAAGAGACTTGACATAAAATCGTGGTTATTTCCTTACATATGTGTATTAAAAACGATGTTCTTTCAATTTTTACCAGTTATACAAGAAGTAGCTCTCAAAATGAAGATATTGAAAATGAATACCGATTACGGCCCACGCGGCGATGTATGTTTCGGACCATGTGCTGATCGATGCTGATCAAGGAGCTTGAATTATTAGTGATCTAGATTACTATTTAGATGTCTATTAAGGGACAGCTAAATTACAAAACGTGACTGCGGGTGTGTGAAATGTAAGTTCAAGATTTACCGTAGTTCACCTTTTCGGGACAACAGCAGCAGTTGATAACAGTATCACTATAAAAAGACCAGGTATTCTGAAGTTATTGCTCAAGAAGGTATTAATATTTCTAATACTTAAATGCCTTAATACTCACCTCCTAAGGTCGCTTCCAGCAAGGGAAGGAAAGAAAGATAATAACTTGTCCCCGATTTCCGATCATCTGGTATTTTTTGTGAACGGAATTTCCTTGACACGTCCGTCCCTCACCAATCTTTCATAGTAAACCGGACTAGGGACAGCGTTTAAATGTCTGTCCAGAAAGATGAAGGTTCTTGACAAACCCTTATTCATACTTGCGGACTGACAGAGAGAACACACGGAAGAATGAACAGATCCAACACCTTACTGATCAGCTTCGGGCAAAGTGACTGAATGCGAAATTGATGCCACTCAGTAATAGGTAAACTATTGTTATGTTGTTGTCATGGATAAACAATTGTCGTATTGTAATGTGTGACTTCCGCTACTCGAATTCTATTCAGGGCACATGTATAATAATGATAAAAAACAAACAGCTTTATGATCCCAAAAAAAAACGAGACGAGATATCTTGAAAAGTCAGAAAACAGAAGAACAGAGACCGGGATGTTGCTCTTTTTCAAAAACGTTAGTGCAGCAAGTGTAATACTGTAGAAAGCCGTGAACAAACTGAGGCCATTTTTTCATGTTACATTTTAACCAGCTGTCATAATAAACAATGCAATCTTTACCCTTTAAAAAGCCGTAGACGGGAATAATTAAATACCACAGTCTTTAATCTCCAACTCTTTCTCGTCCTGAGAGTCTGTCTCGTGAGAGCAAACCACTCAGTTCTCTGTAAATTATTCTCAGCGTCATTTGTAGTCTTGCCATGTCAGACCCCCAGTTTCACTTCGAGTTTACTACAGCACCAGATACGCGTTTAAACTGCTGTATATGGTAAGTCAGTTTTTTTTTTGTTAAAAATGTGCTGCACTCGGCATGCAGCGACCAAGGGTGCCCAGATGTAAAATTGGGAACGGATTCTGCGTTCTGGACCCTTTAAGATTCTCAAATTTGACAAGCTTTTTTCGTGCCATGATTTCCCGTCAGTTTCAACTGTTTTTTTTTATTACACAGCCTAACAACC